GTCAGGCGCTGCCTGCTGGTGAGAACAGATTCTCAGTTGTTTGAAACCGCAGGGGTGGACGTAGGAATACTTGACCGTCAGTATAGGGGGCTGCGGGACACTTGTTCCCAGGTAACCCTGTGCCATCCAGATATTATTCCTAGGGAGTTTATAATCCCAAATGAGAGCATGAAGGTGGCAGGGATTGAGGGGCAGGTAATCTCTCTGCCAGTAGCAGAGGTACCTGTCAACTTTCAAGGCTGGAGGGGAGATTGGCGGCTAGCGATTTCATCGACTCTGCCAGCAGCCGTGCTCGTGGGAAATGACCTGGCTGAACATGTGAAACGGGTGCTAGTGATTACACGCTCACAAGCCACCACAGGGACAGTTCAGGGGGGTAATGATGAGCCAGAGACGGAAGCAGAGGGGAGTTCAGAAGCTGTGGTGGAAACCTTAACCACAGACAGCAGATTTGGACAGGAGCAAAAGGCAGACGCCACTCTCCAAAAGTGTTTTGAACAGGTGACTGACGCCCAGCTAACACCTGAAACCCCAGTGAGATTTCTGGAGAAAAAGGGGATTTTGTATAGAGAGACCCTGAGGAATATCTCAAAAGGGGGAGATGGGATCAGAAGTCAGCTGGTGGTACCTGAAAAGTATCGCCCCATGATCTTACAAAGGGGGCACTCTGACATGTTTGCTGCGCACTTAGGGGTGAACAAAACACAGCAGAGAATCACACAGAATTTTTACTGGCCTGACATAGGGAAGCAGATCAGGGAGTTCTGTAAACAATGTGATGTGTGTCAAAGGCAGGGGAATAGCCGCGACAGGACCAAAGCAAAGTTGTGCCCTTTGCCTGTGATTGACACTCCGTTCAAATGCATAGGGGTGGATATTGTGGGACCTTTGCCCAAGGCCACAAAGAGGGGGAACAGGTTCATTCTCACCATTGTGGACCATGCCACGAGGTACCCTGAAGCCATACCCTTGACTAACATTGAGACTAACACAGTGGCCGATGCTTTGGTGGGGTATATGTCCAGGATGGGATTTGCCTCAGAGCTAATCACAGATTTGGGCGCATCGTTCACATCAAAGCTCATGAAACGCTTATGGCAGATCTGTGGAATTAAGCACAAGGAAACCACTGCCTATCATCCTGAAAGTAATGGGTTAACTGAGAAGTTCAATGGGACTCTAATGCGCATGATTAGGGCTTACTTGGCAGAGAATCCAAACAATTGGGACCAGAAGCTGCAATCCCTTTTGTTTGCTTATCGATCAGTGCCACAAGCCAGTACCGGGTTTAGTCCATTTGAACTTCTATTTGGGAGACGGGTGAAAGGGCCCCTTGATTTGATCAAACAAAATTGGGAGCAGATCACCCAGGATGACCCACTAGACGTTGTGACATACATAGACACCTTGATGAATGACCTAAAGCGAAATCTAGAGCTGGCAGCAGAAAACCTGCAAGCGCAGAAGGTCAAACAGAAAACATGGTATGACCGCAAAGCTAGAGAGAGGCACTTTGACCCAGGGGAGGAAGTGCTTTGGCTTAGGCCCTGCAGAGAGAATAAGCTGCAGCTCAAATGGGCAGGACCATATAGGGTCATTTCCAAGATGTCAGACCTGAACTACCTTATAGAGCAGGAGGAGAACCAAGCAAGGAGGGTGGTTCATGTGAATGCCCTAAAACCCTACTACAGAGGGGAACAGAGGGTTCTATTTGCTATAAAAGCAGCTGAGAGTGAGGAAGCTGAATTACCCTTCTGGGAGGGTAGAGGGGAAGTAAAATACAACCCAGAGGAGGTCAATATCAGTCCTGCACTCACCCAAGACCAGCAGCAAGAATTAAAAATGCTGCTTAGTAAATATCAGCAGGTGTTTTCCAACAAGCCGGGGATAGTGAAGGGAGTGATGCATCGGATCCACACAGGGGATGCACCCCCGCAGGCAGTATCCCCATACCGAGTAACGGGACCCTATAGGGACAAGGTGCGGAAGGAGCTGGACGAGATGCTTAGGGAGAACATAATCGTCCCCTCTTCTAGTCCTTGGTCCTCTCCGATAGTCCTTGTGGACAAGCCTGATGGGAGCATTAGGTTTTGTGTTGATTACAGGAAGTTAAACCGTGTAACCACTCCTGATGCCTACCCAATGCCCAGGCTAGACAACCTGATTGAAACCATAGGGGGTTGTCGGTTCATCTCATCATTGGACCTGGTAAAGGGATATTGGCAATTAAGAATTGATCCCAGGGATCAAGAAAAGACTGCCTTTTGCAGCCCTTTTGGTCTCTATGAGTTTCGAGTCCTGAGCTTTGGTCTCAGAAATGCACCAGCCACATTCCAAAGGCTGATGGACCAGACCTTGGCAGGGCTCAGTGACTTTACAGTGGCCTACATTGATGACATAGGGATCTTCAGTAATACCTGGGAAGATCACCTGTTACACCTGGAGTTAGTGCTGCAGAGGTTAAGTGCAGCAGGGCTAACAGTAAAGGCCAGCAAGTGTCAGCTGGGTAGCCCAGAAATAAAATACTTGGGTCACATGGTAGGGGGAGGAGTGATAAAACCCCTGGAGGCCAAAATAGAAGCTGTTCGTGATTGGCCTAGACCCAACACCAAGAAAAAGGTCAAATCATTTCTTGGGTTGGTGGGCTACTACAGAAAGTTCATCCCGAGGTTTAGCGAGATTGCGGCTCCGCTGACCGATCTGACAGGGAAGAAGGCTGATGACCGCATCCCGTGGACCAGCGACTGTGAGGCGGCGTTCCAGAGGTTGAAGGAGGCGTTAATCAACTATCCTGTCCTACGTGCTCCAGTCTTCGACCGGGAGTTTATCATCTACACCGATGCGTCTAACAGCGGGGTAGGAGCAGTTCTGTGCCAGGAGGATGAGAATGGTGACCAGCATCCAGTGTCCTACCTGAGTAGGAAACTTCAAAAAGGTGAGAGACATTTGGCAACCGTGGAGAAGGAGTGTTTGGCCATAGTCTACGCGATCCAGAAGGCCAAGCCTTACATCTGGGGAAGACATTTTATTCTGTGTACTGACCATTCACCATTGCAATGGTTAAAGACAATGAAAACCCACAATAGCAAACTTATGAGGTGGGCTTTGAACTTACAGGACTATGACTTTGAAGTGAAGGTGGTCAGAGGGTCAGTGAACTGTGTTGCTGACGCCTTATCAAGAAGACCTGAAGACTGAAGACGGCGAAAGAACATGGACTATGTGTATATAATGCTGATAAAGAGTTAAATGTACCTGGTTTTGAATTTGGTTGGTATTAATAAAGGTAAAATTGATGTAATGCATATGGTAAATGTTTGAAATGCCTATTTGCTATGTTTAACTTGGAGTGTAAGTATATGTAAGTATTATCTGGTATGTATAAATGTTGTTGTGTATTTTATGCAGGTTGTTTTTTTGGTGAAAAGCACTTTTAGCTTTCCCCCTACAAAACAACTTTTAAAGAGGGGAGGTGTTACATACAGCACTGATGTTACCTGTCTGTCATGGGTTTGGAGGGAAAGTTCCATCCTATGGGGAGTGGAAGGCGGGACATCAGGAGGAGGGGCTGTACTGTATAAATATGTGATGCCTGTGTGGTGAAGAGTAGATGCTGAGACAGACTGTGAGACACTGGGTTGGGACGAAGCAGCAGCTGGGGAGAAGAAGCTGTTGTGGGAGTCTGGGTGTCTGACAGGGTACTACTGTGTGTCAGAGTACCAGCCTGAAAGGTTCAGGGGTCTGTTGGTTAGCCAGAACTGATGGGTTCAGGGTCTGTGCTTTAAGTTAAAGGTTCTAGGTGAACCAAACTGTATGCTTGTGTGTGTGAGAATAAGCCACGTTACTTTATTTTATTCACCTGATTGTTTTATTTACCCTGTTTGTATTTAAAATAAACCTTATTCTTTTACTGTTTAAAAATCCATCCCTGGTCTGTGTGACTTTTTATAGGGAATGGTTGGTGGCAGCTTAGTGTAACTGTGTGGCAGATCCCAGTAGGTCTGGGTTTGTCACACTCACTAGATTGATAGATCCTAAAGCTGAGGCTCCAATACTTTGGCCATCTCATGAGAAGAGAAGACTCCCTGGAAAAGACCCTGATGTTAGGAAAGTGTGAAGGAAAGAGTTGAAGTGGACGGTAGAGGATGAGATGGTTGGACAGTGTCATTGAAGCGACCAACATGAATTTGACCCAACTCTGGGAGGCAGTGGAAGACAGGAGGACCTGTCATGCTCTGGTCCATGGGGCCACGAAGAGTCGAACACAACTAAACGACTAAACAACAACCAATAATATTAATTCTAATTTCCATTTAAAATGTAATGAAGAAATGTATACTGTTTTCTATCAAATCAGCAGAAACAGTTTAAATAATTTTCTTTCATAAGGTTAGAACGTGTGAAGAGGGGTGTTCTGACAGACCATTTATAACAGTGTAAGAATATTAATCTCCAAAACGTCACTCAAATAATCTAAAACTGCTTAATTCAAAGCATTATTTAATTCAGTAGTTTTCTTGAAGTACGCCTTAATATAAAAAGAAATTAAATCAAGAAATCATCTTTAAGGCCAGCATGTGACAATACATAGGGACATATACATATAAGTATACTTACAGATTGTATATCTTGTAATGGCTTAAGGCCAGCATGTGACAATACATATACTTACAGATTGTATATCTTGTAATGGTTTTTATGTTTTGAATCCAAAAACCTTCAAGAAAAACATACAAAAAACACTTAGTTAACATCACTGTTTAAAACTGTTATTCAAAAAAGCATCCGCATTACCATCTAACTACATCAGTGTTTATTTCATGTGTATATATTTATTGTTGCTACACTTCATTAGGGATGTGAATATCTCAGCCTTTTGCTCTCAGCAAGAGCCAGAGGGAAAGCCCTCCTTCTTTTATGTTTCTTTTTTCTTTTTGATTCTTTCCTGCACAGGATTCACCCAGAAAGGGCCGAAGCACAAAGTAGCATGGTCATTGCAATTAATATGCAGAATGTTATTTTCAGACATAGGAGGCATCCTAAAAGACATTAAATCTGCACAGCTTACTGCAAATAAAACAAACGATGGGGAGGAAAAGAAGGTTACTAACCTGTAACCATAGTTCTTGAAGTGGCCCTCTGTGAATTCACACATATAGGTATTGTCCATGCCTGCGCCGACGATCTCGGAAGATTCCAGAGCTAAAAGTAACAATTTTATGGTATGATCTCCCATGAGGCAATGCTCCTCCCTTTCGCCTCCCCTCTCAGTTCCTGAGATATGTCCACCGGGCAAAGTTATGGAATTGTTAAATTATTAAAGTGCCGTGACTGACAGAGGGGAGGATGGGTGGGTAGTGTGAATTCACAGAGGACCATTTGAAGAACTATGGTTACAGGTAAGTAATCTTCTTTTCTTCATTGTGGCCTCTGTGAATGCACACACATGGGTGACTAGCAAGCTTCACTTACCGGCAGGTGGGATGTCACGGTAAGAAAGATGCTAAGACAGCTCTGCTAAAACCAGCATCATTGTGTGCTCTGACATGTAGCCGGTAGTGCTTGACGAAGATCGACGGTGTGGACCAAGTTGCAGCATGGCAGATCTCTGGAATGTCTGTACCACGTTGGAAGGCAACTGACATGGAAAGTGCTCTGGTGGAATGTCCCTTGAGTTGGTCAGGTGGAGGTTTTCCTGATAGTTGGCAAGCAAGGGTATAGCTTCCACTATCCACCTGGAGATAGATTGCGAAGATGCTGGACTTCCCTTGTTGGGACCACAGAAGCAATCTGTTTAGGGTCCTGAAGTCCTTGGTTCTATTTAAATATAAAGCCAATGAACGCCTGACATCAATTTTGTGAAGCATGTTTTCTAAAGGAGATGATGAAAATTTGAAAAAGGAGGGCAAAATGACTGGCTGGTTTCTGTGGAAATCAGTCACAATTTTGGGAAGAAAAGACATCGAAATGAAGAGTCACTTTTTCAGGATGAAATTGGATGAAAGGAGGGTCTCAATCAGAGGGCAGAGAGTTCATTGGGTCTTTTGGCTGAAGTAATAGCCACCAGAAATGTCGTTTTCAAGGTAAGTAACTTGAGGTCAGAGGTAACCATGGGCTCGAAGGGTGGACGATCAGAGCATTAAGTACAATCTGCAATGACCATTGAGGAGTAATGCATTAAGGTGGGGGACAGGTGTTATTAAGTCCCTTGAGAAACTTTTTTACAGCTGGATGAGAAAAAATTATTGCGGAGGTCATCTGGTTGGTGAGCGACGATCGCTGCAATATAGACTCTGAGGGTTGAGATCGATAAGCCCAAATTGAAGAGATGGAGAAGATAACTGAGCAAGGTTTTAATAGAAACTGGTATTGCAGTAAGGTCATTTGTCTTTAGTGTATTTGAGAAAAGACTTCCATTTGTTCTCATACAGGATTCTCATAGAAGGCTTTCGAGCCCGATCTATTACTGATTGAATGTCGGGATCACCCTCCAAGCTGTCAAATGAAGGGATGAGAGGTCTGGGTGGTAGACCACCATGTTGTTCATTGTTAGGAGATCGGGGATCAGAGGGAGTTGGAACGTGTCCGTCGACATCGAGAAGAGATAAGGGAACCATGGTTGTCTCGGCCACCAGGGAGCTATCAGGACCGCATCTGCAGGGAAGTCATGGATCTGAATCACAGTCCGTTGAATCAGTGGGATGGGGGGAAAGAAGTCCCCTGGACCAGTTGATCATAAAAGCATCCCCAATGGAGTTGGCATTGGTTCCGGCTCGAGTGCAGTAACTCCTGCATTTTGTGTTTGATCTCGAGGCAAAGACATTGATGTCTGGTGTTCCCCATCGATGGCAAAGGAAATGGAATATTGATGTCTTGAGGGACCACTCATATGATCTCGATGTTAGGCGACTTAGGTGGTCCGCCATGTAGTTCTCTTCTGTGGAGATGTGTACTGCCATCGGAAAAATGTGGTGCCGGTAACACCATTCCCAGAGGTCCATTGCTAGGTGCAAGAGGGAGGAAGAATGGGTGTCCCCTTGCTTCTTGACATAGAAGAGGGCAGTGGTGTTGTCTGTTGCCAGCTGAACTACCCGATCTCGAATGATTGGTAGAAAGGCGTGGAAGGCCTTTATAACTGCGATTAGTTTATGTGTAGCCTTGATTCCAGTCTTGTCCAGAGACTATGAATTTTGTATAGCAGGCAATGAGTGCCCCAACCCGAGGGGCTGGTGTCGGTCGTGACTTGCAGAGTCGGTTGAAGAAGATGGAATGGGCGGCCGACAAGAAGATTGGGAAGTTTGTCCACCAGGTGAGTTGATGTAAGAGTTCTGGTGTGACTTGCAGTCATTTGGACTGGTTGTCTGTCTGTGGGTCGAATTGTGCGAGAAACCACGTTTGTAGAGGTCTGAGTTTGAGCCTTGCGTGCAGGATGACCGAAGCTGTCGAGGACATGAGTCTGAGGAGATGTTAGGCATGTTGAGCCATGACCAAGGCTCGGGGTCTAAACAATGCTATAGCACACCTTAGTTTCGCAGTTCTTTCCTGTGGAATGAATGCCTTGGCTTGTATGGAATCGAGTCAAGCCTCAGTGAATGTAGCTGTCTGGGATGGGTCCAGGTGGGATTTGGCATAGTTGACCTGACAACCGGGTTTTGCAGGGTGAGCAAGGTAGTGCGGGTGGCTCTCATGGCCTCAAGATGAGAGTGTGCCACAATGAACCAATCGTTGATGTAAGGGTAGACGTGGATACCCTGAAGACGAAGGAAGGAGTCTATTGGAGCCATGCACTTTGTAAAAGTCCTTGGAGCCGTAGAGAGTCCGAATGGGAGGGAGCAGAACTGGTAGGCCAAACTGTTGAAATGGAAGCGAAGGTACTTGTGGTGGGATGGATGGATGGATATATGAAAGTATGCATCCTTGAGGTCGATCAGGACAAACCGATCTCCCTGCGAAAGAAGGAGAATAATGGTGTCAAGTGTGAGCATTCAAAATTTTGGGGGTCGAATGTAGGCATTGAGGTCTCTGAGATTGAGGATTGGATGGAGGCCTCCGTCCTTCTTCGGCACTATGAAGTATTTGGAGTAGAAGCCATAAAGGGCATCAGTAGGTGGAACCAACGTAATGGCTTTTTTGTCTAGTAAAGAGGAGACTTCCTCTTGGAGAGTGTAAGAGTAAGGAGTAAATTTGAGGTTGCCCAAGGGAGGTAGGGATTGGAACTCAATACAGTACCCGAAAGAAATAATATCAAGGACCCACTTGTCATTTGTAATATGTTATCAGAATGGGAGAAGAGGTTGCAGCCGTAGAAAAAAGGGATGAATTGAATCTAGATTTGTCTGGATCAATACTGTCGATATCCCTTACCCTTCGTTTGTGCCCTTGCCAGAGGCTGTCTGTTTTGCTGCTGGTTCCAAGCACGGGCGGTCAAGGTCGATGGTCCCTGAGTCGAGAAGGGTCTGTCAGATTGGTGTTGACCAAAGGGACGATATGCCTGGTATCTCCGAAATGGTTGGAATGGTTGTTGGAAATATGGAGACGATCTATAATTTGGTTTGTAGGGACGAAAGGAAGATTGGTTTGCATAAGTCTTGGCTGTTTTGTGCATCTTGTGAACACTCTCCATAGTGTCGTCTATTTTTTTGATGAAAAAGACCTATGCCATCAAATGGTAACTTCTCGATTCTATGCTTGGCATTGTCAGTGAGAGATGTGGATCTGAGCCACGTGTGTCTGTGGATGGCTATGGAAGATGCCAAAGATTTAGAAGCTGCTTCAGCCGTATGTCTGGCAGCTATTTTCTGTTGCTTTGCTAGGGAGGTCGCTTCAAAATGGGCGCTCATGAGGTCTGTTTTGATGGATTCAGGGGCAGACTCATGAAAGGGCAGGATTTTCGCCCAGAGATGTTGTTAGTAGGCAGCCACTGCTGCCTGGTAATTAGCAACTCTCAGTAAGAAGAACTGCAATTAATAGATTCTACGAGCTATGACATCGGGTTTTCTTCCTTCTTTATTAGCTGGCGAGGTAGACGGTTTACCCCTAGACTTCAGTAGGTTGGATTCTACTATGATCAAATTGGGAATTAGATGCTTTGCCAGAAATTCCATGTCGGTATCATGGGTTGTGTACATGTTTTCCATGAGTCCGGACCTTTTCAAGTCTGTAGGAGGTGTGTCCCAGTCTTCTTTGATGATTCGCTTCATGGCCGGGATGCATGCCAGGCTGAGAGGCTGTGACTTTTCAGTGTGGATATCATCGAAAATGATATCTGCCTCAGGAGAAGGAGGTTCCTCAGGGAAGGGGAAGGCGTCTGAGGTAAAAATGGCAATCACGGGAGAAAAACAACTCATGGGAGATCAAAGTAAAAAGATATTGATTGTAGATTGAAGTGTGAATTTGGTAATTAGCAAGTATTTAGTAGCACAAAGGCCTAATAATCACACTCTTTCTTCCGTAGAATCTTTCAGCATGGCCGGAAAAAAGGAACTGAGAGGGGAGGCGAAGGGCAGGAGCACTGCCTCATGGGAGATCATACCATAAAATTGTTACTTTTAGCTCTAGAATCTTCCAAGATCGTCGGCGCAGGCGTGAACAATACCCATATGTGTGCATTCACAGAGGCCACAATGAAGAACCAAGTAATCTCACTGGTGTAGGGAGAAGTCTTGTTAGGGAGCTTCAGCATGTTGAGACTTAGAAAACTGCTAAAGACGGAAATGT